GTGTCTCAGGAGTCCAGGGCCCTGCAGCTTAGAGCATCTCCCAAGCACCATCTCCCCGTGCCCCACAGGTTTCCACCGCAGAGGCGCCCGACGCCACCAGCTACATGTGTGTGGCCGAGAACCAGGCGGGCTCCACAGAGAAGCTCTTTACGCTCAGGGTCCAAGGTGAGCTGAGCGGAGCTGGTGGGTGGCCAGCTGAGGTGGAGCGGAGCCGGTGTGCTGGGCCTCGCTCTGCCACTGGCCAGCACGGAGAGTCAGCCACGCAGGGCAGACTGGGGCAGGAGGGTGTAAGGGCAGCTCAGGGCCACTGTCTTGGTTCTCTGGCATTGGGGCTTGGAGCCCATCCTGGGACAGATGCCCACGGCTGGAGCCGTCCCAGATTATTTTCAGCCGAGCCCTGGTGGTGCAGTGGTTATGCATTGGGCTGCGGTCCACAGGGTCGGCAGTTCGAAACCATCAGCAACTCCGAGGGAGAAAGACTGGGCTTTCTACTCCCATCAACAGCTGCAGTCTCAGAAGCCCACAGGGCAGGTTGTATGTGTGTGTGTGTGTATATGTGGTTATGAGTCAGCATTGACTCAAGGCCGTGAGTTTGGTTTAGGGAGGCAGCCAGGCCTTACTTGGCAAGCGTTCCCGGTATACCCAGCGGGAGGCTGGGCGCCTTCTCTGGCTGACTCCTTCCAGCAGAGCGCTGAGGCCAGCCCAGCCTCTCAGCTGTGGGAAAAAACTCACGGAAGCCACACAGCCTGAGCCTGTCACTTCTGCCTTCTCTGGACACACGTGGCGCTTCGGTGGGTGGCCCTGAGCTCTGCCTCCAGCACAGTAGCTGCTGGGAGGGAGGGTGACAGTGTTGAGCTCTCCAGGGACATGGACTCAACGTAGAAGTTGCATTTTCACGCTGCTGCTGGCCAGCTGTGTGGCTTTGGGAAAAAGACACTCCCTCTCTGGTCTTCTCATCTATTAGACGGTTGTCGTGTGCAGGGGCCGCTGTGTGGCCAAGGGGTTGCCTGCCCTCCTGTTGGCGTGTGTTCTCACGTACCTCTCTTTGTCCTGGTGGCCCTGGCGACAGTCCCACCCAGAATCACAGGCCCGGCCTCAGAGGAGGTTACTGCCATCCTGAATAGCCGCGTCTCCCTCCCCTGTGATGCCCACGCTCACCCGAGCCCCGAGGTCACGTGGTACAAGGACAGTCAGTCCCTGTCCCTGGGTGAAGCGGTATTCCTTCGGCCTGGTGAGTTAACTGAGGCCGCAGCCCAGCTTGGAGGCGGTGTAGGGAGCCAGCATTGTTTTCCTGGCACCAGGGGTTGCGGTAGGGTGGGAATAGAGGAATGGGCCTGGGGGCTGGGGCCCAGCTTGCTGGTGCCAGGGGCTGGGCTTCCCCTCGCAGGCACGCACACGCTGCAGCTGGCTCGAGCGCAGCTGTCGGACTCCGGGACTTACATGTGCGAAGCCCTCAATGCCGCCGGCCAAGACCAGAAGTTGGTGCAGCTTAGCGTGCTGGGTATGTCTCCTGTTTGTCCCCTACCTGCACGGACCCCCACTCCCCTCAGTAAGCCCTGAGACGCTCGGCTGCGTGGGTGGCTCAGCCGGGAGAGGGGCGGCCAGCACTGAATGAGGCTGACACTCCAGGGACGGTGTCCAGGTGGCACTGTCTTGCACACTGGCTAAGGCCATGGCCTCTAGAGTTGGGCAGAGTTAGGTTTGACACTCAGCTGTATATGTTCTCGCTCTGTGACCTTGGGCAAGTTGGTTGAGCCCAGCCACCTGTTCTACTAACTGCATCCTGGCTGAGCAGGAGAGAATGTTGGGATCGACTGGTGATGTCTGGTCTGGCATAGGCTAAGGTCCCCTCTCTGAGCCACAGATTTCTCCTCTGTAAGGTGGTGCCTGGTGGGAAGATTGAACGATGGTTGGTCTGCACTGCGATGAGCCCAGTGTCTGGTGCCAATCACGCCATGGTGACAGTGGCATAGGAGTAGGAAGTGTGACAAAGTCCCAAGAGCTTGGTATAGAAAGGGGCTTTTCCCAAGTCACCAGACTCTGGGCATGGAGGGAGTCTATTGCAGGACTCATGGTCTCTGGAAATCATTGAGCTAGAACCGCCTAGAACAATGGTTCTCCACCTTCCTAATGCCGCAACCCTTTTAATACAGTTCCTCATGTGGTGGTGACCCCCCAAACATAAAATTATTTTCGTTGCTACTTCATAACTGTCATTTTGTTACTGTTATGAATCGGGCCACCCCTGTGAAAGGGTCGTTCGACGCCCCCCAAAGGGGTCGTGGCCCACAGGTTGAGAACTGCTGCCCTAGAAGCATGTGTTCATCTACTCACACGATGTTCTAAGCACCACGCTGGCTCCCGTACATTTACAGCTGAGGGTGGGCCTTAAGGGTGGGGCTTCCACAACCATCATCGCTGCCTGTGGGAAGAACTGGTTTGCTGGAGGGTCAGAGGGCTCTGTGCAGGACTCCAGTCCAGACACAAAAGAGCCTGGGAGAGCCATCAGAGAGCCTCAGAGAGAGCAGGTGCCTTCCCCAGGCCCCCTAGCATGTCCCTGCTCCTGAGAGTAGCCTGGACTCCTTGCCCTGCGCCTGTGCTAACCCTGGAGGCCAGGTCGTCGGTCTGCCCCTGGTGGACCTCTATCGACTCATTCCTGTGGCTGGGGCCAGAGTGGACGAGGGGGAGAACACAGCACCTCACTCGGCTTCTTCTCTTGTCCTCAGTCCCCCCCACCTTTAAGCAGCCTCCCAGTGGACCGCAGGACACAGTCCTGGTGCGGGCAGGGGACAAAGCTGTCCTGAACTGTGAGACGGACGCTCTCCCCGAGCCTACTGTGACCTGGTACAAAGACGGGCAGCCCCTGGTTGTGGCCCAGCGGGTCCAGCCTCTGCTGGGTGACCAGAGGCTGGAGATCCCTGATGCCCAGGTGAGCAGCCAGGGTGCCGTGGGTGGGGCTGCTGTAGGCGGGGGCAAGAGAATCATTTTCCAGCTCTGCTGAGCCTGGGGGCAGGGGTACAGGCAGGTTAGGGGGAGACGCTGGGGGAACACAGGGCTTATCTGTAGACCTTCTGGAGATGCATTCTGGGCCGCTCCCTCCTGGCTTAGATCCATCCTCACAGCAGGGGGGCCTTTTCTGCTGGGCTTGACTGAGGCCCAGGCCCAGGGGAGGGCAGGAGTCCTGTGTGTGTGTGTGTGTATGTGTGTGTGTGTAGAGGCAACTGCCCACCTCTATCTGCCCTCCCTGAGGTCCTTGGTTGAGGCTAGAAGGCCTCATCTCCTCTTGGCATCCTGGGCAGTGTTGGCCTACTTGGGGGGGAGGGAGGGGATGCTTCTGGGACCTCCACATCTTCATGAAGCGCCCTCTGTCCCAGGTGTCCGATAAAGGTGTCTACAGTTGTAAAGTCAGCAACGTGGCGGGGGAGGCCATGCGGAGCTTCGTGCTCACTGTCCAGGGTAAGCCGGGCATGTGGGGCGAGGGACGTCTTGCTGAGCATCACCCAGGCACGTCCAAGGATGAGCATGCCCTGTCTGGAAAGAGGGCTGCTGCTGCGCGGAGAGGGGTGTGGGGTCTAGACTGTAAAGGACTAGAGTCCAAGCAGCGTGCTTCATGGAGTGCAGTAGAGCCACATTGCCCCTCTGGGCTACGCTTGTCATCAGTAAAGGGGGCCTGAAAGCAGCTCATGCCTGCTGGGTACACAGGAAACACTTGCTCTCATGGCACTGCCATGACTGTCTTTGTAAAGCAGCGGGCGCTATGCCTGGGCAGCTAGCCACTGCCTCAGAGAATAGACATGAAGAAGATCCAGGGCCGTGTCACCTCCACTCTGGATACATAAAGAGCCCAAGGTCAGATTTAGATGACATTTGATTGGCTAGGAGACTAGCAGGGGAAGAGGGAGTCTGTCTGGGCTGTCTAGGGATGGAAGCCCGGCCAAATTTTCTTCAGCTCAGACGTGTGTCAGTTAGAGGGTGGCAAAGTGTTTCCCAAACAGGGGACCCAGTGAGAGAGAAATGTTCCCCTCTCATCGAAAAGTCCTGAGATGCACGTCCATACTGGTGGGGTAGCTCTGTGCCAGGCAGACCCAGGTTCTTTGCATCTTATGACCTCCCATTGTCATGGGTGGCTGAACCTGGGATGTGCTGACCCTGCTCTGGCTTACGGGAAGCAGAAGGGAGCAACAAGGAAGGACAAGAAGGTTTATCTTAAGCGAGTGAGGCAGACACTGTGTTGGCCTCTCTGCTAGCATTCCATTTGCAAGACCCTCATCCGCTGGCCACCGCAGGCTGCAGAGGAGACGACCCTGTTTCCCCAAAACTAAGACAGTGTCTTATATTAATTTTTGCTCCCAAAGATGTGCTAGGTCTTATTTTCAGGGGCTTATTTTTCCATGAAGAAGAATATGGTACACATTTATTGTTTTATTAAAAGAGACCTTGCACTTCCTGTTTGCTCCAGCTGCGCTGCGGCCAACGGTGAGCTGCATGGCGGCGCCAGCCATTATGGTCCACAATCCAGAGTTACGGTAGCTTGGGGGGGCTTATTTTCAGGGAGGTCTTATTTTCAGGGGGGGTGC